TTGTTAAACAAGACCGATGTCTGTAGGTTTACTTTCTTCTTAGAATTCTTCTCAAGAATTCGATAAGCCAATTAACGCCTCCCACGAGCTAGATACCACCACCTGCTTACCTATACCTATAAATATCCACCAACAGTAATCACAATTCACACAACATTCAGCCTTGATAATGGATGCAGAATGCATTCGAAACGCGTCGGCCAACTCATCACTAGCTACAACTTTTACCCGTTGTTCTAACAACGTTAAGACGGCTTATCGACTTCTTGAGAAGAATTCTAAGAAGAAAGTAAACCTACAGACATCGGTCTTGTTTAACAAAATCTGCCTAGAAGAAAATCTGTCACCAAAGTATACCAACATCCGACTTAATACTATATATATATATACGGTTTTAAACGTTAAAGAAGTGCTGAAAATCAATAGTCTTAATATTCATGTTCAGTCTCGTTGGACTACAAATGTTTTATTTTACATTTATGTTAATTTCTTTCCTGAGTTTCGTTTAATTTGTGTGTTGATAACTCGATCTTTTTCGTGTAATATTCTTATAGGTACTTCATTAAACTTCAAGTTTCTAAAGACACTCGTAATGCCATGAGTCAAACTACGGTTACTATCCGCCAGGGGAAGCTACCTGTTGTCTACATTAGAAAACAAAAAGCTGGATTGATAAATCCCAACGAAAGACTTGTTGTAGAGGGATACATCACCAGTCGAGCCAATGTAACGATTCGCTGGGAGGTCGTAGTAGAAAAAGGTGTGTAGTAATTGTGTATATTTCATAAGAACAAGAATATTCAAGACGAATGCGGCAGTTTGTGTTAAACACGTACCTTAATCATTGAGTATATGAAAATTAACATTGAGCTGTAAACTGAGTAGAAGTCAACTAGTAATCTTACCACATCTCTGATGGATGTAAGCCACAATAACTGCGTCATTTTGAGGAATAGTGCTCAATGATGTATAGCTTTTATTGAAGTGTTTTCCATTTATGTTGGGCCGGGCGTGTACTAATGGTCAGCGTGCCTGGACTGTGAACTAGAGGGTTCACGGTTATCGACTCGTGTCTACAAAATCACGCTTCGCATTTGTGGCCACGGACGCATTACAAGAGTTATGATGAAATCCAACTGTTCAATCAGACAAGGGTTGACGTTGGATGCTGTTGACTTTTTCCATCCTTCTAGTCTATCAGTTCAAAATTAGGGACAGCTTTGCAGAAACTTCGGGAATAGACCATTTTATATTAGTTCACAGAAAAGCCCTCCACCCTCCCCAGTGGCACAGCGGTATGTCTGCGGACTTACAACGCTAGAAACCGGGTTTCGATACCCGTGGTGGGCAGAGCACAGATAACCCATTGTATAGCTTTGTGCTTAGCTTCAACCAACTAGCCAAAGAAACAAATTCACAGAAAAGTAAAGGTAACAGAATCATCTGGAGGGCATACTGTGTAACAGCAAAGTCGTTTGTCTTGTGCATTATGACACAAATAGTACATAGAAGAAGCTTAAACGGGTTAAAACTAGCCTAAATCAACTTAAATAATATTTTACAAGTAAGGGTTTATTCGTTGGTTGTGAAGCACAAAGCTACAGATGGAGCTATCTGTGTTATGCCTAATGCAGGTATCGAAACCCGAATTTTAGCGTTATAAACCCTTGGGTTCACTGTATATCCATTAAACACCCTCTGATAAGGCTACAAGTAAGGGAACTGCGAATTTGAGATCGTATTTACCATTAACTTACCTTATTCCTGATAACAATCGTACAATAACGATACACTCCATGACCTACTGACAGATAACGATATACTCCGTGACCTGCTGACAGATAACGATATATTCCTTGACCTACTGACAGATAACGATATACTCTATGACCTACTGACAGATAACGATCTACTCCATGACCTGCTGACAGATAACGATATACTCCATGACCTGCTGACAGATAACGTTATACTTCATGACCTGCTGACAGATAACGATATACTTCATGACCTACTGACAGATAACGATATACTCCGTGACCTGCTGACAGATAACGATATACTTCATGACCTGCTGACAGATAACGATATACTCCGCGACCTGCTGACAGATAACGATCTACTCCATGACCTGCTGACAGATAACGATATACTCCGTGACCTACTGACAGATAACGATATACTCCGTGACCTACTGACAGATAACGATATACTCC